TTTGTAATATCCCCTTTCCTATAGACTCAAATCAGCTGGAAAAAAATTGTGCAAGGGAAAATGCTTATTTATGGAGCGTTGTCATAGATTAGGCAGATCAAACATGAAAGACCAGCTCAAACACTGGCTACAGATTAGCTGCTCAGGTACTGCAAGTGGAACTCAGATGAAGTAAAAGCATTTCAATTACACATTAATATCAGATGCTGCTCTCCGTAAAAAAGCAATTCAAGATGCCGACTGAGAGTGAGCAGGGCTATGACTTTCCAAAATTAGCCTGACATGATCTGATTCAACTTCAGTGGCAGTTACACTGGGCCATGAAATGGCCTCAAGTTGTGCCAGGGGAGGTTTAGGTTGGGTTTTAGGAAAAACATCTTCACCAAAAGCATTGTCAAGCATTGGAACAGCTGTCCAGGAAAGTGGTTGAGTCACCATCCCTGGAGGTATTGAAAACACGTGTAGATGTGGCGCTTAGGGACATGATTTAGTGGTGGACTTGGCAGCACTAGGTTTACACCTGGGCTTGAGGTCTCAGGTCTTTTCCAACCTAAATAATTTTGTGATTCTATGTGTCCACAGCAACATGAGTCTAATTGCTGCCTGTCAAAAGCAGGAGTTAAATGAAAACTGTCTATTACTTTAATTAATGTGACCCAACCATATACATTATTTTTTTTTAATGGTAACTATCCTCAAAGTTTCCACAGAATTCTGTGAGCACTTAAAGAGAGAATTTTATATACGTATTTTGCATACATAGCAAGAAAGCTGGCAAAGAAAGGCCAAGATAGTATTGTCCTGGAAAGATAAACCCATCTATTAGTGTTTTCGAATAAAGAAATGCCAAGTTCCTTTGCTGTGTGAGGCAGTTTCTTTATATTCAAATCTCGGAGTTCTTATTTACTGTAAGTTTCTAAATCCTTTAAAAATCGCAACCACTATTTGTTGCTATAAGGAGAAAAATCCTACTTAATTTCTACAACAGCATGTACCAGTAATGCTTAAATGTTGCTGCCGGGGCTTTCTTCCATGTATCATGTGAATACATCACCTGTCATACAAAAAAATAAAACTCTTTACACTCGGTTGCTGCAAGATTAATTTATTTGTAGTGCCAGGAATGCAGCCTTGAGGAAAAAAAAATTAAAAATGGCTTTGCTGCTTTCATCTCGATGTTATTTTAATGTGAATGTTTCGTTACAGCAATATATCTATGACCAATGAGGGAGGCCGTTTACCTACTCAGCTACTTAAATACTATTTAAATGGCCATTACGAATGATTGTACAACTGGTGAACTTGTCTCCAAAACAGTCTCAGAATTTAGGAAGAATTTTGTAGACATTAGAGGCAGATATTTAACAAGCCTCAAAATTAAATATTTGACGAAGCCAATACAGTAAACGCACATCTCAAGACATTTATCCAGGAAACCACAGTTGACCCTTTTTAGGGCAGGTTAAGCAGTATATACACATAGAATATTTTTGTCAATTTTTTTGTGAAAATACAAGATGGAAGAAAAATTAATCTATACACGAGAGATTTAGCAGAGCATGAGAAAGTACATTTTTCCTGAAAAGTGCAAGCTTAGATTGGAATGAGATGTTGGTTTTTTTAACTTCTGCATTTCAGTAGCGCCAAACTCCACAGGTAAATCTTCAGATGTGAAATAAACCCCATTCTCCAACCTCTCATTCTCCTCTCTTTCTTCCAGGAAACAGCTCTCTCAATCTCTGCATTTTTAATACCTCCAGACTGCAGGCTCTAGACTACACCCCATCCTAAAGCATTTGCAAAATTTTAGCTGGAGGGACTAGCAACCAACAACTACTCAAATCTGCCTGGATTTTCTTTAAGATAGAAGAGAAGAAAATTATGACTACCCAAATGTATGACTGTTTTAAATTACTAGCTGCACATTAAGAAGCAGTAGGGATTAAATTTAAGGCTTCAAGAACCTGTTTGTTCTTAATCTTATTTTTCATTTTTAGAAAAGTTTTGTTTCAAGACAGAATGGATTTCTTATAAGAGATAAACATGTTCTGACATCCTAAAGGACAACGGCATAAAAATTAAATTTAATACTTAAGACAAGAATTGCTATATTTTATGAAAGCAATAATTTGTTATATCTAACATGCCTTAAGATCTTAAGTTACTTTTCGTCTTCTCAAATCATTTATAGTCTACGTCTTTCAATATAGCACTGGTAACTGTCCTATAAAAAACTGCAACCAAGTGATCGTATAAAGTATATTTTTATTCCTCCATTATTTTTCTAGATGGATTTAGCTCAAGAGCCTAAGGAAACAAGCAAAGAAATGTTTTAAAAATAACACCTACAAGCTTCTTTAATAAAGAAGTTTTAAATTCACTAGGTTCATCAGTAGTGTTTTCAGGTTCTGGTAGTTTTTAAACTGTAGCTGAATTTCTACTTTTTACTCCAGGAACTTTTTTTTCTGGGTGATTTTACTGGAAATCAGTAGAAAAACATTGACAAATACTTGGTTAACTGTTGACTGAATTCATCAGGCTTCACATAATCAACCTTGCACTAATCACACCTGCTCTGGAATTTACAGGGTTATAAACACAGGTCTAGGAAGCCGCACACCTTACTTTCTGTCATTCAAGAACTATTCTGTGTACAACATTTTCAATGCCTTATCAAAAATATTGATGAAATTGTGCTCTTACAGTTCACATGCTCTACTGAAATAACCTTCTGCAGAAGATTTCCCATGTGATCGTGACCCATTCAATTTAATAGTCTAAAAGGTAAAGCAATATAGATTGCCACAGTCTGTGCAGCTAAGCTTACTAAAGTCCTTAAAGCATTCGGACGACTTTACCAGAAATGCTGGAGAAGTGCCCAAGTAAGGTACCTAAGCAGGTCAGTCAAAGCTTCTCCCTAGTTCTGTAAAGACTGAACTTCGCAAAAGTAAGACTTCTGTCCTCAGTGCGGCAAAACAACCTTACAGCACCAAACTGAGTTCTAGAAGGAGTCAAGAGGGCTGGGAAAAAGACTCTGAAGGCTCCAGTGCCTGGAATGAGGGTCTATAATGTTGCAGGGGTCTGTGTGCCACAGCCTCCCTCTTTTTTTCACTCTTCCAGCTTCCTAAAACATCCTCTGCCTCCACAGTGCTGTGGGTGCATAGGATTTACACTGCCAGGAGCAGCCCCATCTGTCAGATGCAGCAGTAATAGAGCTTTACAAATGAAACACCAGTGTGGCAAATGAGGCCATCTTTGCTCCTAGAAGAGCCAATCTCCATCTCTTAACCTAGTCAAAGCAGACAGACAACTCTGCTAGGCAGCAACCTACTTTGCTTATGCTTATGCCTAAAGCCAAATTTGCATATTATGAAAATGGAAGGTGACACAGTAACACGAAACAGTTTGAGTCAGTAGAAATGCTCACTGCAGCACTCAATTACAGCTGAGTGAATTAAGGACTGTGTTACAAAGTCAAATTCTTCTTCCACCCTCACTTTGCAAGTCAAGTAGATCTTTCAGTATTAGAACTTCCACTTAAAAATTACTTTGAGATCTTATCATCCAATAACTGAGTCAATTCAGCTTGTAATTTCTACCCTTGGAGAAGCACGAGCACAAGCAATTCTGTAGAAACCTTGTCTTCCTATTTTGGGGGTTTAGAAAGGAACAAGGAATTATCTTTACACCTTTTCCCCTCCTGTCTAAAACACCTGCACAGCACTAATTCCAGTCACATGTGGGGAGCCCAATCAGAGTACTATTACCACAGTCAAGTAGAGGCTGTTCTGCAGTGCACAGTACTGAGCTCAGACACTGAATCCAAATGGTGATCACTTACTGGTTCTGCAAATAGCATTGTCAGCCAAAAGACACCATGTCTTATCTACTTTCTTTACCCATTTTGACTGTATGCACTGTCCTAGTAAATGTTTGGTTTTGTTGTTTTTTTTCATGTCTCAAGCCTTCATTTTGACCAAAATTGCTCACAAAGACTCCATCCTACAGCTACTTTGGAAAGCATCAGTATCTTCCCTGTCTTAGAGTTTAAGTTAATTCAAACAACATCATTCCCAAACACAAACTACTCTTTTTACATTCTACAGCTGTAAATACCATCCAATTAAAGACATCTTCATTTCACAAAACACTTTTCATTGATAGAGAACTCTCGACATACACAAACAGTTGTGCCTCCATTTACATACATGCTTTATTCAATTTCGCTTTCACAACTCTTATTTAGAAAAGGCTATCCAAATGTTTAGATTAGGCCACCAACTCAGCTTCTTTAGAGGTTCTTAATTCTTGGAACACAGCTTAAGAGTATGTCTGCTAGACATGATCTTGCTTCTGTAATAGGACTTTAAGGGGTCTGATCCCTTGATTTGGATCCATGTGTTATGTTGATTTTACAATAAATAACAGATAATCTAATCTGGAAGAAAGACTCTTTGAACATTATGCCAAAGATAATCTCTACCAGAGATATGCAAAGGAAAGAAGTCAAATTTCAAAGCACTGCTGGAGAGAATCTCAAGAGCCTAATACAAGACCGGTTCTACCACTCAAAGCTATCTGTGAACCACAAGTGAATAGACAGGCCAGACTTTTCAAATATCCCATAATGTTAATGAATTTACTGCCCTGTTTTTAACAGAAGTCTGAATCCTTCTGAATATCCCCACAGGCTTCTGAAGTTGGGCATCTGAATACTAAAGCACTCAAGATTAGAGACCATTTTGGAAAATGTAATCTGCATTCAGCAGTTGCCTATACAAATAATAGTCTTGTAAGCATTTAACTCATTCTTTGCAGAGCACTGTAGAATACACAAATGTGATAAACTTCATATGGAAAAGCTCTATTCTGTTTGCTATTTCTGTTGCATCTAAAAAGAAAGATCACAGAGGTTTTGCATTTTGTAGTACCATGAAAGAAGGATCTCTCTCTAAAATATTTAAACCATGAAATGACAGAGGTGGCAACATCTGACTTACTGTAAGGCGTTGTATCAGTAGGGTCAGGAGGTGGAAAATTTTCTGTGAAGTTGACATTACACAAGTCCGTACTACAGCAGCAGAAGCGATAGGTTCCATTCTGAATCAAGGAAGGGGTGGTTGTAACGATACACTCCTCAAAATGACACTCTTGTGGGTCTCCTATATGAGACCAGCAACCTGTAAGAAGAGGCAAATTAAAGAATTCTTTTTAATAGAGGCATAAAATTAATTCTATTGCATGGATAATTAAACAAGCCTAAAGAAATCCATGCATTACCCAGTTAAATGTAACAGAGTGGGGAGAAAACAGTTATCATAATTTGCTTGTCTGACTTCACTACCACCTTTTAAACCAAAAAAATGAAGAATTTCTTTCATAATTTTACCACAGCCAAGGAGAAGAAATACGAACAGCGATGAACATCAACATCAAATGTGTCCAGCTGTTAATCTCAGTATGCCAAAATCTGAATTCTTGAGCCTTCTAAGCATACACATGCCATTCTTCATTTCTCTGACACCAAAGACAATATTACCACCTTCTGGCTCACAGTCCAGATAAAATTGTGACTTGGTCCTCTCCTTAGAGCCAGGCCACAAGTCTACATCTATAGTTGGGTGCTTTTTGTGTAGTTTCTAAAAATTCTGTCCTCCTTCATCCTCAACATCACTGGACTCTACTACAGGATCACAACTTATTTCTTGGTTAATGCCAGCCTTTTCTCCTTCTCAAGTACGATCAACGGTGGTTAAATGTTATTTATGCACAAATGCCTGGAAAGCAAATAGGCAGTGTGGGGGCAGAGGTGAGCAGCCAGATTGCTGCTCTCAGCAGATTACCAGATCGAACACAGAACAACAACATTGAGCACAACTGCACAGGATGTTTGTAAATGGCAGCTTTCACTCAGTCCTATACTACATTAACCTGTATCCAAGTAACAAAAGCAAAGTCCCTGAGAATGATAATCAAAACACATCTCCAGCAACTACAATCCCTACCATCACCCTCCCTGCAGAATAGCGGCAAATTTAGTTAGTGACATGTGACAGTTTTGTGCTATAGCTGCAATTCCCTTGGTAACCAAACATCCAATCAATATGACTAAACATTTTTTCTTAATGAGACACTAATTTTTAAATTTCTCATTACATCAATACATATACAGAGACATACTTAAGAAAGCCATCTTCCTCTGGACATCCTAAGTAACAAGCAATTTGAGTGTTTTTTCTTCAATTGCGCATTGATCTCTTTGGTCTCTTTAAGAAGTCATTTATTTAAAACAAACTTTCTGTTCATATTTAAAACTGCTAAATGGGAAGCTTAAAATTATGCATTTGTACAGTGCACAAGCAGAATGTCCAGGTTTGCAGCAGTGCATCTTCGTACCGGCTGGCTACATCACAGAGAAGTAAAAAGAGTAGCAAAGCTACCGCACTTACACCAAAATGTTACATACCTTGTTTCACAAGATGTATGTCTCCTTCTCGTGTTTTTTCCCAAAGTCCATAGCAGGTACTACCTTTCATGCACAAAATCGTGCCATTCTCCTGGGAGATTCGGCTCTCACTGATCCCATGGTCCTGCTGATAGGGGTCCTTAAATGCACACAGCCGCTCCTCACTCTGCGCAGCTTCAGACAAAGAAAGAAAAATATTTTTTGCCACTGATTTCATGCATAAAATATCAACTTTAATAAAAGGATGTTTAAGGTCTTCTGGAAACCTACAAGCAAAATCATCCTGAAATATATGTATCCATTCTTTAAACTGTACTCCAATAGTCAGAAATAAAAATGAGGTCTGTTCCAAAGTTATTTCCATAAAGAAGACAAAAAAACTCATCAGATATTTCAAAGTGAATGTGCAAATGTCTGAAGTTCACAGGTGCAGAATAAAGATTTCACTGCATAGTCTGCAGCATCCACATCACTTGTCCTCAAGCACAAGTTACGCAACTGTTAACTGGTTTCTTCAGGAACCGCGCGCATTACTTAACTGTTTCCAGATCCTAAACCAAGATGATCCTTTTCAGACTGCCACCCAATCCAGGGCCAATCTAATTCAGAGGGTTTTTTTCCCCCCACTCTCTTTCTATTGACCTATCTCATTTTTTCTACATGTTATCCAGCCATTGCACTGACATTTACTGCTTTTTGCTCAGCAACCTATCAGCTTGGGCTCTTCCATCCAACTTCATTAATGCCCACCAACAGAAACACGAATAGCAGAGTAAAACCCACGTGGATTGACCAGCAGCTCTGGGAAACGCTGCCTGTAAACAGGAGCAATGCTGCGTGTGAAGGCTCCCTGTGAAATGCCCAGCAGAAACATTACAAAACATACAAAGACAGCGCAAAAATAAAAAACCACAATCACCTAAAAAAAATCCTTGGGGTTTTTTATTAAAACAAAACCAAAACCACCCACAAAAAGCATACAGATTCTTACAAGAATATTTAATCAATAAACTTCTGCATTTTAATAACTTAAGAATTGATACGTTTTACCCTTATGATTACTGCTTTTTGGTTTATGTTGCCTCAATGAGAGAAATCAACCATGCTGATATGCCTCTGTCATCTTTTCTTTAGAAAGAGTAAACACATTCAAACAATGACCTCTTTAAAAAGGCATCAAGTCCAAGCTAAATCCATCCTACATTCGCAGTCAATATTATACTTAGAATATTTGTATTCTTCCCTTGAATGATTTTATAAAAGGCATGGAAGGCTAGGTGTGTCATGTCAAGACATTTCAATACTGTTCAGCAGTACAGCTCAAACATCCAATTGCAGAAGGAATCTGTACCACATCTCTCAATAACAACATTCCATCCAGTTCTTTAACTCCCATGAAAGCATTGGTAGCGAAAAGATGCAAGGTGGAGTAGATTGGTCTTTTGGGGAAAACAAAGTCTGAAATTAAAATTACAGCATACATAATTGTAAAAGGTACTACAAATGTATAAAATATCTCCTCACTGAGAAGTTATTTATTTGATCATTATGTAGGACTGGGCCCAAAGCAGCCCAGTTTCAGCAACGTTTCAGCAACGCAGACTTACTGTAAAAAAGCTTTTGCATTGTGTCACCAGTGCAGAAGATTGAGTAACAGAAAGACAAACCAAGAGACTTGGATACCTATCTCACTTCTAAGGCCATAACTATTCATTAAAGTCAAAATTCAAAATTATTCTTATGCTGAGACAACCATGCACCATCCAGACAGCTGCACCATCCAGAAAAGCAGTCTGCCAGTGACTTGCAGTTTACTCTATGGCAGCAGTAATTAAAACAGCACAACTTAGCTCATTTTTCAATGGGCACGTATGACCAGTTGCGTGGCATGTCAGCTCAGTGGCGGTAAAATGCTCGGCTGAGGAGACAGGAACTTCTTAAGTCAATGTAATTCAATCACTGGCAGCTCCACGTAACTCTAATAACCTGGCCAGTTATCCATGTGAATCACCCACCTCTGTACACTGGTCAGTGTACAGTTAACACTTTACATCTGAAACAAGAGTTCTGCAGTGACAGACACTTTATTATAAAGCAGTGGCTTGATATTCAGAAACTCGGTTGCCTAAATTTCGTATCTTTTTTTTTTTCCTTTCTAAAAGAGTACAGTTAGTCAAGTTACTGAGGACAAAAAGGTCACACATTAACAGCAAGCATATGCTGCCTCAAGCAGTACTTGCCAATCGCACGTAGTCGGCTCATTCTCAGGAACAGCTGAGTATGCCAGGCGTGAAGCATCTGTCCTGCGTTCTCTGCTTCATGACACGGGACTGGCCAAGAAACAATGTACGAAAGGACAGTACTCCTATGCTATAAGAGAACTGGAGCTGACTAACTTTTTAAAAATCAAAAGGAGAAAAAATTATCACAGAAGTGTAATTTTCAAGAGAGAACAGGACAGAGCTGTCCTATCTGCTTCTAGGGACACCACGAAGGTTATAAAATCAGTTGTGCATAACAGCTGAGTGGGGCTAAGGTCATCTGAGATGTTAGTTGTTTACAGAATGCTCCAATTGCTGCAAGATAAGCCCTTTCAAAATTCGCCTTTATTGTGAAAAATAAATTAAAAGGACAGGACTTATAAATCAGCCACACAGATTTGGTTTCCTTATCAAAACCTTGTAGTAAAAAAAAAACAACTCGGTGAAAGTCCACTTTCATAATGCAATATGTTAAAAAATATAGAAGTCTTTTAAACTCTGAGCTATTGGAAAAAAAAGAAACCTTTTGGTTTTGCTTTCTAGTCAGAAATATAGCTACATGTATCATGTCTGTGCTCCAAAGACACAGACAGCTTTAACTGCCTACTTTTCTGGTCTCTTCACCTTTCTATATCTCTCTTGGGATCAAGGTTGAGAGGCAAGAACATGCAGAAGATATTTGAAATAAAGAAAAGTTGTTAACCGTTGTGCTAGATGCTGTCCAACCATACACTACAGAAAATAACGGTTGCTACTAAAGGCTTTTCTGATTGAAAAAAATGTATTGCCCTGTAAGAATACCTGCAGAAGGGAGGAAGGGGCAAGTATGAGAAAGTATAAGACCCACTGCTAGCAACCTGAGTGCCTATCTTTATCAGTCTCCTAGTAAACTAATAAAAATGCAAGTTAACTTGCTACAGATTAATGTCAGATGATCTCAGTGGGAAACTTCTCCAACAAAAAAGAAAGGTTACTCACCCAACAACTAGAGTTTTCATGCTGATCGCTGCACATTCCTGCTTCGATTATAACTTACGACTAGCACAGCCCCTGTGGGAGCAGTACCCACTGCAATACTCTGCTGACCTCTGCCCTTTCCCTGATGGCACGGAACATCTGGAGAACAGGGACAGATAACAAAAGCTACTTTATTTTTCTCTATGGGCTCTGTAGGTTCATTGTTGAAGCTGTAAGGCCGAAGAAAATTGGGTAGGACATTCAGATGTCCAGAAATTGTCTTGAAGAACCACTGAATAGATGAGCCACTTCAATTTCTTTGCATGATTTTGGCGGATTCCTGCTCTGGGAATTTGGCAGTAAGGTTTCCTTCAGCCAGACAGTTCAAAATTTAAACTTCCAGTATTGGAATACTTCTAAGTCAGGCCTTGAAACTAACCTCCAGCCTAGACGAGTATGCCTTAAACCTTCCCCAAAAGAAATAAAGATAATATTACAAAAACACACAGAGGGGCTGGAGAGCCTATTCTAAACTTTTATCTATTTCAACAGAAGTCTTGCCCTTTAAGGTAAAATACTGTTGTTCAGTTGGATTTACATATGTTTCTCATAGATGACCACAATTTTACATCACTTTTCAGTCATCAGAGGAGCCAACAGCTATGCATGGTACAACCAGAGCAGAAACACACCTACCTGTCCCTTGGGATCTCTGCACCTGCAACGCAAAAGGGCAGCCACTAACACTCTCTATAGCGGCTTAGCTGGAAACAATTCCAAAGCTGCTTCTTCCCGAACTCCATCCTTGGAGGCATTCAAAAGCCATCTGGGCATGGCGCTGGGCAACAGGCCCTAGGTGAGCCTACCTGAGCAGGGGGTTGGACAAGATGACCTCCAGAGCCCCCTTCCACCCTCAACTACTCTGCGATTCTTGCAGGACACAGGTCTCAAGGAACGCCATGTGCAACAACCAGACAGAAAAACAATAGTCCTCAGCTGGGTTACCTGCTATTTTTTGTCTCCAAGGCAGGGGAAATGGCAGGGTAAGACTAAAACTACTAGATTCCCTTGTTCGTCTTCAGTTCAAATAGATTCAAACTCAAGGAAATACCTTAATGTTAAGATCTTCAATAAAGAACAAGAGCAATTAAAATAAACAACCTATTTATCCTATGAAGACCAAGGCTCTTGAACTGATCCACTTGATATATCCAAGCCATTTGCTACCTTTGTCAGAAACATGAAAGGCAAAGCCCCTGCAGACAGACGTGCTCACCACATACTAAGGACTCAAACAGTTCACTGTGCAGCACTCCTTTCCTTACAGATTTCGCAGACCCAAGATGTACCAGCAGCTTATCCTTAAATCAGAAAAATACAGAAGCCATTTATGGCTATACAGCATATTTGTCCAGACATGAAATGTCCCAACATACAAACAAAATCAAGACCTAGCACCAAACTAAGCGGCAGCACAGGTTTCCCAGACCATCTTTCAGAGCCCTGCGCTTATGAAGAGAAATCGCATTGTTTCAGCTCTTTTACAGGCCCTTTCAAGGTGTCCCTCTCATTACCTGCACACAAGCTAAGTATCACAAAAATAACTGCAGGAAAACAAATAAAATTAATCTGGATCGCAGTTTCTCTGTAAATGTGTAAGTCTAGGGTAACACTTTCATCATTCGGTCTACAGCGCAACAAACAGAAAAAAGTGCCACAGATGGATGCATTCCCCCAAAGACTACAAACCTACTGCATCAAAAGAGTGACCTCTGGTTTTTGGTAGGGCGGTGGGGGTGGACGGCTCTGGAGAGCTCACTGTACTTAAAACGCAATTATCTGATTCAATCAGTACATGACAAAAGTGTAATTTGAGAAATATGGAAATTGTGACTATCAGGAGAAAAGTCACATCAAAGGCTACCTCCAAAGCCCGAAAACATCTATTTGTTATTACTTTCACAACGTGTAGGAATTACAAGAAGAACTTTCGGTACTTGTATTATCTTCATAAGGTAATTTTCATAGTAAACTGTATTTGTTCATCACAAAGAACTCATGACACATTCAAGTCTTTTCTAATTCACCTTTAATGAAAGGCTACGAGAGAGACTTTGAAATAAACAAACAACAACTGAATGGTTGCATGCCACTGAAAAAATTGCTACTATAGACAACTTTGTAGCAACAGATAGGCTGCCATTAAACATGCCAAAAAGCAAAACCTGAACAACAAATCGTG